ATATATATATATATATATATATATATATATATCGTATTTTTTAACAAAGGTTTAATAATTTGACGCATGACAATGGTGGGCAAGGGTAACAACATGTGACGTCATTCGTGGATAGAGCTTAATCCATGCCACGTGGTGGGCCGCACACCCTTATGTCATGCCACGAGGCCTGTGACGCTAACGTCGTCGCTTTCCTTTGTTAACGTGTGTATCGCTGCGCGCTTCTTCTCTCATTTCCTTTTTTTATTTATTTTATTTTTTTATTCTTATCTCTTTAATTTCAATTCTTCTTTTCTTTCTTTCTTTCTTCTGCTTTTTAAAACAGTATTGGTACTTGTCAGAGTAACATTCATTCTCTTTTTAAATCTATTTATTTACGATTTTTTTATAAAAATAAAAAAATTACAAAAATGGTCACTAAGGATTAAATCTATTTATTTACGATTGAGTAAACTAGGTAATCCTCGTAATTTTAATTCTAGCATCTTTTCTTTATAAGAGAGAAAGCTAAAAATATATTCTCTTACCCTTTTCTTTAGTATATTATTTTTCTATTAACTAAAATTTATTAAAAATAATAAAATTTTGTAATTCTCACATTAATAATTTTCTCTCTCTACAGTATTTTAATAAATTTAAATTAATTAAAGAGTATATATGATCTAAGAAATATGAACTTTCAATCTAATGGTTGAATTTTTAAAATTCACATTTAATATAAAGTTATTAAGTAATATAACACTTAGTAAAAGTTACATCAATGTCGTTTGAACTCTATATATATATATTAACTTTACTTAATTAAACTAAGTAATGTTATTTGAGTATTGCGGGGAATTCTTTACTTAGTGTTATTAATTACATGAGTAAATAAACTTTATTTTATATATATATATAAAAACTATTGAATATGGATATTGTAAAGGACAAAGACTGCAGATATACATGCAGGTAAACAAAGATTACAATCATGACAAATGAATGGGATTAAGCAAATAATATTGTATGTAATATAATTAATATTTTATATTTGTGAATAATTTGTAAAATACATCACACAAGTAGTCAATAACATCATGAAACTATTCAAATGTTTAATATATAGCAGTTAGCTTTATTTCACCAATAATCAAGAGTGAGTGGATATGTATATAATTGTTAATATGTATTTGTATCACTAGCTAATGACTAAATTAATGTCTCACAAGTACTCTGTGTGTAAATTTATTGAAATATTTAATGATAGTTAACTTTACAATATTATAATTGATTATATATAAATAAATATAATTATATAATTATCAATTTATATTATAATACTAATTGATAGTTAAATATGCCTAAAAAATAGTTAACAGTATTTTTATATATATGAAATTATGAAAATGTCTAACAAAAATTTAATTGTAATTTAAAAAGTGATTAATTGTCCAAGTGGATGCTAAAAGGACAATTCCTGCCGATAACTTTTCAATTAACATACCACGGTTTTACGTAGGAACTGGAACATTGAACACAAAATGAATAGTTTCTTTAAATAGAAAAGTTATCTTTAGCACAAAATGGATAGTTTTTTCTTTTTAACATATATGAAAACGGATATTTTTATTTTAATTGTATTTGTTTACACTGATAAATTTTAATAAGAGAGCACCATTATAAAGCAAATAGTTATTTTAATAATATTCTCTATTATTTATAAATAAAAAAACACATTTTTTTCTTAAATATAAATAATTTTCAGTTATTTTTACCTCATTAAATAATATCCTCTCTAAAATATATTTTCTTTAATGTATAAGTTTTCAATTACACTCTTTTGACATTTATATATTATGATATTGTGTATAAAAAAAAAGAAGATGGAATGTATATAGGAAGTGCGAGGTGGGATGTGATGGCCGTCCAAAACGAGGAAAAAAGAAAGGGGAAGTACAGAAGCTAAAACGTAAGACGACCAAACAACACCGCGTAATCTTAGAAACTTAGGAAAATAAAATAAACATTATTATTATTTGTAGTTGACGTTACAAGTTAATGACCCTTTCAAATCATCAACCACTCACCCCTTCCCCCATTTATATTCACCCCCCATAACCCCAATCCAACAACACCACCACCCTCATCTTCTCTCTCTCTCTCTCTCTCTCATTCATTCTTCATTCACTCACTCCAATTAACACCATGCAACAAGCAATTCCTTATGGATCATGGCAACCCCTCATAACCCCCCACCCCACCACTCATCACTTCACAATTACCCCACACTCATTAACTACTACCCACATCCACAACACCTTCAACACTCACAATTCTACAAATAGTGCTAATAATAGTAACAAAAATGATGATAACCGCTCCAACAAGAACATGGTACTCAAACTCAACAACATGGTCCTAGAGAACGCGGTTATAGTGTTCGCTAGGCGCGGGTGTTGCATGAGCCACGTCGTCAAGCGCTTGCTTTTGGGCCTTGGAGTCAACCCTGCGATGCATGAAATTGAGGAGAGAGATGAAGTGGGTGTTGTTAGGGAGTTGGAAGAAATTGTTGGTGCCAATAATGGGAAATTGCAGTTTCCGGCGGTTTTTATCGGTGGAAAATTGTTTGGAGGGTTGGATCGTGTTATGGCTACTCATATTTCCGGGGAACTCGTTCCAGTACTCAAAGAAGCTGGGGCTCTATGGCTTTGACCCTTTTTTTTCAAGAATTTTCCATTTTCGTTCTTGGTTTTCTTGTATTATTTATTTATGTGTTTCCGGATATGTTAATTTCCTCCTTTGGAGGCTGTAGAGAAAAATATTTGAATATAATAAAAATATATTTTTTCGATTTCTTTGGAAATGGATTCAAAAGTATGATATCTAGTGTTGCAACCGAGGAGGAGATTTCCACAGTTCGACTAGTGTGATGGTTAAAGCATAGCAGTGGAGGATGCCAGCTCTCAACTTGGAGCTTTGTTCGATGGTAGGATAATATATATTTGGTCAATAGAAATTAAGTTTTTTAAGTAAATATTAATTTTTAATGTTGAATTTTCAAACACTTTAAATTATGTGAATAATTAAGAAAAATATGACTAACAGTAATAGGAAGAGATAAGATAGAAGTAGAAGAAAGAAAACAAAACGAATATCATGAGATTATCAATTTTATACTTATCAGAGAAAAAGACACCTTTTGTGTCTCTGTATGTAAATGGTTCAGAAAAGCCAAAAATAAAAGAGATGTCGATACAGTATAACTAAAAAATGAGACTACAAATTTATTTTGAATTTGAAGTTCTGAGTCTGGTTAGAAAATACTAGTATTTTTAACTTTATCCAGATTCTATATATTTTGTTTGTCGAATAATTTCTTGTTTAATATATAATGATACAGTTTCTAATGTTAATCAAGAAACAAATAATTAAAAACTGTGAGAGATAGAAACTAATATAAAATATTGGTATATCTCTATTGAAAAGAAGAAAAAAAAACCAAATAGAAAACACGCGTGATAAATTAATGTTGGTATGTTTAATGATTTATTATGGTTTTTACACCAGATGATATAATTATTAATAGAAAATTAAAATAACTACTAATGGAAGGTTATATACCTACATATACCAAATATGTACATATATCCTATATATAAAGCTGAAATAACTAACCAAATATATGTAATATAAGTATAATATTTTAGTAAAGGTAAATTACACACCTTAAATTATTGTAGGTTAAATAACTCCTATACATAATACCAAAAAAAAACTTCACTTCACCATCTACTGAATGGTCTTCATAAATATTGAAATATAAATTAATTATTTTAATAATCTAAAATAATTTAAATGATAACAATAATTAAGTAACAAATTTTAAATTATACATTTAATTAAAAATGTAATTTAACTATTAAATTTTTTATTTATAAGATCTATCTTATTTATTATTTTTTTATATATTATTTATTTTATATAATTATTAACTTATAATTTAATTTATTAAAATATATAACTAAATTAAAATTCTAAAAAAAAAATGTGATAGGTTCTGGTTTACCCGAATCCGACAAAATCCGATGAAAATATGGACGAGTTTTAAAAATATAAATCCATCTTTAAAACCTAAACCTACCTCACCTTTTATAACAGAAAGGATGAAGAGAACAAAATTCAAGTCGACTTATTTTGTTATCATCTTTATTGAGTAATTCATTTTCTTCTTGTCACTTGATGAGAGGATTTATTGTCGAAAGAAAAGAAGAAAATAAATTATTTTCTCATTAACAAGAGGTTAATAAGTATATACATTATTGTAAAAGTTTACACCTATAATAAAAAAATCATCTTTAATATAAATTTTTTTAAAAAGTTATTATAAAAATTAATAAATTTATTATTTTATATATATCAAATATTTATTATACGTACTAAATTTTATGATAAATTAAATATATAAATAAAAATTATGTTTGAATATATAAATTATATTTAAAATTTGTATAAATTAACTATATTTAAGATTTATGATAAATAATTTATATTATAGCATAATATTATTTTTATTTATTAATAATATATTATAAAAATATTAAAATTTAATTTATAAATAATTAGGATAACTAAAAATTGAATTAGATAAAAAAACTAAAAAAAATTATAAAACTTTTTTTATCAAAGAAAAGTTTTTAAAAATGTTCTAGAGGTTAATATAGAACAGTCGATTAAATTTATAATAAATTATATATACATATAAGGGAGATCCGTTTACATTTACTTAAGATAGAGTTACTCTATTTAATAATTCATGTTTTTCTATCAAATTTTAATGATCTAACTGTTAAATTTAAAATTTTTAATATATAGATCAAATTTGCAAGTTTTAAAAAAAATTCAAAACTATTTCATATTTCATTTCATTAATTCAAATCAATGTAAAAAATAATTTTATGACTACCCGTTAATTCGAATTAATGAATAAAATATTAAATAATTTTTAATTTTTTTAAAATTTACAAACTTGGTCTATATATTATTAAGAACTTTAAATTTAATAGCTAAAATTTAATATAAAATATAAATTATTAAATAAAATAAGTTTAAATAAATCTACTCTTAAAGTAAACAAATCTTTCTTTTCTATATATAAATACATTATGTTTGAATATACAATTTTCACAAAATCAAAAGTTTAGAGAAAATAAGATATGTATTGATAGGGTGATGAAGTGTTTTCACATTCTTATCTAATATCTAACTAATACATAATTATTTTACTTAGTGCGTGTTTGGTTTCAATTTTGAAACATAAATTCTTCTTCTCTCTCCACGTCCACTTACTAATTTACGGAGAAACTGCTATTTTCTCCTTCCGATTAAACGTGAAAATTCCCGTTTCAACGCATGTTCAAACACACATGTTCAAACACACGGTTATTCTAGGAGACCCCTAAAGATTCTGAGGAGATATAGATTCCAAATAAACTAAGGATCACGGTGTTAGTTGCGGCATTTTTCATTCTATGACAGTGTCTTTCTATTTATGTTGTACTAGTACTAGGAACTAGGAACTAGGAACTATGAACTAGGAACTAGGAAGGTTCCACTTTTGACTTGAGACATATCTGTGGCGTAAGCAAATAAATTATGAAAATTGACCAACCCATGTACAGAAAAAATTGATATATTCACCTTCGAGGACCCTTCGATTGCTTTGGTATTTTGTGGGTCTCACCCAACGTGATTTCTGGTATTACAATTCACAATTATTTTGGTGTAAACATGAGACAATTTGGTGCCTCCTGTACTGTTAGCTGTTAACTTTATCAACCACCGACAACCTAAAAGAAACCATAATCTATGCATATATCTCCGCCCATAATCATAATACTAGCAAGTATTTTTTTGTTTTTCTTTCCCCCTCTTTTGAACGTGAAAGGCTTTTGTATTTCATTTAATACTATGCATGATCGTGCAAATGGGTATATTAAAGTCCAAGTGGAGATAACACAATGTAATTCATGATTATGAGTACATGCTATTTATTTTTTTGATCATCGAGTACATGATATTATGATAAGGTTGATGATTTTACGCGTTTTTATGTAATTCATAACTCTTATAAATATAAGTAATATATTGTTAGAATACATAAGATTACCGAGTGCGTAGAACAATTGTACGGTAGAGTTGTTCACGGGTTAGTTTGAAATTAAAATAAAAATTAATTTTGATCTAATTATATATTTTTTAATTATATTATTTATATTTATTATAAAATAGATATATTTTAATAATAACCCTTTTCATCTTTATTTTTTGGTAAATTTATACTCTTGAATATATAAAAAAAAAATATATCTTCTACCACTTCTAATATTTATCTATGTATAATTATTAGAGATAAGAAATGTCTCGACTCCTCTAATTAATCTAAAATATTTATTAATTTTATTAATAACTTTTTTTATAAAAAAAATTACTAACTATTTGTAATGAGATCTTTTTTTTTAATTATTTTTTCATCATAGAATCCAAAACTTCAATCAATTATATTTGATTGTATTTGTTTATTTTAAATTTATAAATTTTTGGGTCAATATGAACTGAACCAAATAGACTAAGAAAAAGCGGGTTGATTTGGTTTTAATCATTAAGATATGATAAAAATAAATTAATATATGATTTTAAATTTTTATTTTCAGAGGTAATAATCTATTTTATATAAATATTTAATTTTATATTGATGTAAGGTAAAAGTATTTCATTTTTTAATAACTAATTATTTATTTTATTTAAATATTTAATTTCTCTATACTTATCACTTTATATATTATTAATATTATACTTAAAATATAAGAAAAATACACATGTTAAACCAAATTAAGACATTTGAAAGAATAGACAAGTTCATGAGATATTTAAAATACACATGTTAAAGAAAGGAAATACAAAATTTGAAACAAAAATTAAGCTCTAAGTTTAAAATATACCTACTTAAAAATAATAATAAAAATAATAATGATTAGATTGATTCAAGTTAAAAAAAGAAAAAAAATGATACCCAGACTAATTATAATTGATTTGGTGTGAATTTGAAGTAAAAATAGTTGATAATCAAATTAATCCAAACCAATCAATTTGATTTGTTATATTCATCTAAAAAGTTTAATATGATGAACACTTCTATTGCACGAGATTGTTCTATAAAAATATGAAGTTCAAGTCTTGAATATATATTAGTATAAAAATAATATTTTATATCAATTATTAAATAACCGATTTAATAAAAAGGAACTAATGGAGAATCCTCCCTTTTATATCGACGGATTATAGGTTTAACTAATGTAAAAGAAGACATTTATACCAGTTCAATCTATAATTGATGAAAAAGGTATTTTCAAACATTCATAGTTCTCTATTTGACTTTTACATGCTCTCATTTCTTATTTTCCGAAGCCTATCATCAACTTTCTCCAAACAACGTTGGCGATGCTCCAAGCATTTTCGACAAGCTTTTCTCACAATTCTATCATTGTCCATGACCTTTGACAACGTCCATGTCTTCTAGCAAAATCCACCATGTATATCATTTTTGTTTGTGTCATTTTCAATTTCATTTTTTTCCTCATTTTGTTGTTTTTCATTATCAAACTTTCCTTACCTCACCCTAAGATCGTATCCTTTTTATCTCCACTTTCCCTTACTCAACTTTTACACATTTTGATTCATTTGCTTACTTTTACATAAATAAAACAGATCCTTCTTCAAAATAATTGTCAAGTTTCCAAAACTGTGGAGGCTTCTAAGAAGTAATCTACCTCAAATTCTTCCTAAGTTGTTACTCTACACATACACGAACAATCTTGAGTTGAGTTGGATAGATGTATTCCTTGCGGTCATCCGAAATCATCTGTTTGAAAGACACAAAAAGTGAACACAAATTTCTAGGGACATTTCGAGTTATAGCACTTTTCCTACTAATGTTGTCCCTTCCATTAACCTTGGACTGATTTGTTGTGGCCAATTTCTATGGATTTTACTTCTCTTATACCAACATAATGTCATTGAGGAAATGCATTGTCAATTAGAGAAGTACTCGAAGAAGAAGGCAAATTAGTCAACTTAGATTTCTCTTTTGGAAAAAGATCAAGATGAGGTTGACCATGTATACAAACAAATGACCATGGAAATCAATGAATTAAAAGTTTAAGAGAATTATGTTTAGTTTTGTTAAGATTGTGGCTAGTTTTCATTTGGGGCACGATCATCTCCAATCCACACTTGAAGATCTAGAGGAAACTTGGGAAACTAGGATGTTAAAGTCTTTTGAGAACGGTGCCAACCAAACAAAATGTCTTAACTCTAGTTCCCGCTAAACTCAAATGGCCTAGACCATTATTGTTGAGTTAATGGAAGTGTGGGAAGCATATGTTGATAATTTAAAGGTTTTTGTTCCATTGTGTCTCGTAAGATCTCAAAATGTCTCTACTCCGAGTTTATCTATGTCAACCTTTGATGTTGTCCCAACGATGACTAATGAAAATCTTCCACCAACTCAAGCTGCTCCAAATAAAGCCAAGGTACTTGAACCTTACCATATTCCTGACAAGGTTGAAGTTGTTGAAGTGAATGTTATTGAAGTTTGATGGATTGAAATGTTGGTTTTAATATTTGTATTTTTGGGTCAAAGTATGTTGGGTACTTTGTTGAGTTTCTAAGTTTTAATTAAAACTTTTTTTTGTGTTCGACTTTGATTTCATATTTTATTTTCACGTTTTTGGAATCGTTTTTGTGTGTCATTTTTTATTGTTTGGATTTGAATCATCCAATTGTCCCTACATCAAGTAGGTTGACTTGTTTTATTGACCTATTACGAGATCTTTACTTTCTCCAATCTAATGTCTCTTAAGATTTAATGCATGAACTTTAATGTATTATGCTGACATTTTTAAGGTCGACATCAATTTTTTTTTTCTTACCAAATGCGCAAATTATTGTAAAAGTAAGAAATATTTATTATGTGTTTGTAAAATAATCACTCTACATTGTGAATTTCAACAATAATATTAGCAAAATATAATTGAGAAAAATGTTATATCAAAATTTATCTTTTATGTCACATGTATATGTCATTGTGAATAGGTTAAAAGTAAAGTTCATACTTAATACTTCAAGTGAAAAACGAGCAAATAATCAAAATTTTATGTGTTAACTCAAAAAGTTGGTTATGTATGGAGGAACTCGCAAAGAAGATTTTAAAGAGTGTTGCACAACTATATTTAGTCCCTATAGATTAGCTATTTTTAAGTTTTTGTTCTGTTGAGTCAAGTTATGCAACTAAACTCAATCCAACCCATTTCTTTCTTTATTTTTTCTTTTTTTTTTTTTTAAAAAAGGCTTTTCATAATTTTACTAGGTTGGGTTTATATTGGGTCAAATGACCCATTTAATCTTTTAAATTTTTTAGGGTTTTAAATCCTTTTCGCACTAGACTTGGATTAGGTCACATGACCTAATACCCTTATACCTTTCCCTGTGACAAATTTGCAGCACATTCCCACCATGACATTCTTAGACACCATAACCGCTTCAGGTTTTGCGACCACACCACCGTGGAAGTCATGCAAAACCCACCACACCACCTTTCTATGGTGGCCTAAGAAAATCCCACCATAGTCCCGCCATTCAATAACACTGATTAAAAATGAATAAGTTGGAATTGTTTTGTAAGCATAATTCTGTACACAATGGTATAATGTTTTAATTGTATTCATTGTTTAACCTCTACCAAACGGGGGCAATTTATCGCATCAGACCTGCTTCTCGAAAAAGGTCACTTTTCATCCAGAATCTGGTGGAAAAATACAAGGTCACTCTCGTATAAGCAGTAATGAACCCATTATGCTACACATTAGCAAGAATTACAAGACTTGTCAAATCAAAGTGTATCAAACCATGAATCAAAATCATCTGCCACTTTGGGTTTGCTTCCAGAATGTGAAGAAGATTGCATGCTGTGATGGACAGGCTTTTCTTCATGTGGCCTTGATAAAACATTTGGATTCATCAAAGTGGATGTTTTCTCTAGCAAGTCGTCAAGTGCATCATCTAGACTAGCAGTAACTGATGCAATTTTTGATGAAACTGAATCTTTCTTCGAATTCTGAGGGGGATACACTGAAGAGACTCCCAGTGAAACCGGAATCGCGGTATTGGACTTAAAGCCAGGAGAATCTAGAATCTTAGTCTCACTAAGTGAATCTAGAAGCATATCCAGTTCTTTTTCAGCAGCAGTGGCCTCAAATGTTGAGTTCTGTTTCTGTCTTGTATCTTCATTAGAATGTAAATCAGCTTCTGAGCTTAGAAAAAATGCTTTATTTTTACCAGAACTGCTAATTTGCTGAAATTCAGCATTGACAGAGTTCACAGGAATGTAAAAGTCGTTGGACAAGGGGAACGTAGAAGTGGCATGGCTACTGCTGCTGGAACTAGATGATGCAAACTGGTCTGCAGCAAGATCATCTAAATTTAATTCTTTAGAGATTCTATTGTCTAGTTCACTGTCTTCTTTAGTTTCCAGCTCCTTGTGTTCTTCATTGCTGTCCACTGCCAACTCTTCCGCACACTGCATGTTAAACTGCATTAATGGAGCAAATACAGATTTGCAGACGATATATAAGTGAATTTCATCTAGTAACTTATTATTGGATTTCACAGGGCATATAATTGGAAATATAATATGATTCTATCACTCTAACTTAAAATTCCATATGTCAAATAACAGGATACCCATGCTGGTAATTTCTTAGTGAAGAACATTGCTGAAGTTCAGAAACTTTCACCAGTTTCCAAAAACTTGTGATTATTGCTTTCATCACTATATTCTATAGCACTGTATGATCATAGCCCATGCATGCACGAATTCAATGTCACAATTGATATAAAGCATATATGGCTATGTTTCAGTATATAGATGATATGGAAATGTTGTGCATTATGGCTCTGGCAGGCCCTATCAACAGGTGGCTCAATTTACCTGTTTGTCTTTCCGTGATGCATAGAAACAAAAAGTGTTGTACAACAAGAAAATTTCTTAACAGCTTGCTTTGTGTCATGGAATGTATGCCACATTAACTATTTTCGCCATCACTATTTCGGTATTTCCAAATTCCCGCTTTAACTAAATTGTTAATGCTATAGCTGAAGTCACTTGGGAAACTAACTGGGGTATATAATGCTACAGAGCAAGAGCTCTTGGAGTCCCTATGTGTTTCTCTTTAAAAGTAGGTTCTGCTCGTAGGATCAGTAAACATACAAGGGATTCAAATTATTTAATTCCCACATGCAGGGAAATAGTGTTGCACATTTAGTGGACACACAAGAATAAGCTTTTTCAAACCCTTTTATTACGTTATAACATCGTGCATGGTTTGATAATGTAACTTCAATTAGATGGTAAAAATAAAATCCTTAGTTTAAAACAGAAAAAATCCTGAAAAAAATGCATGTTAGGTAAATTTTTTTTTAACCATAATATTGGTATGAAATATGTATTGTTGGAAGCAGTCTAATCTCTGTCAAGGACTATGAGCACACACAAAGTAGGTATTCCCCTCCTAACAAAGTCTATTTTATACTCAACACCAGGATTCAAACTTTGGACATCTTAGTCAAGGGACATAAGTCGCTATCACTTATGTGAGCCAATATTGGTCATGTTAGGTCAAATTTAAAACCGAGTAAAATTGTAAAATAACTATGCTGCACTCTGGGCCCAGCGTCTGCCCAAACCTTGGAGGGGAAAAGAGAAATATGAAATTAAGTAAATAAACCAGATGAAAATTTTTTTTTTGAAAGACAACCTAGCGTTAATGCTATATTGCTATGATGTTTACAATTACAAAAAGAAAGCCGACCACACAATTTTCAAGAACAATTTAGAGAGTAAACATACCAACTCAGGGGGTAATAGGTCAGACTCGATGAATAATCTCTTTGATAAGTCAACTTTGGCAAGATTTTCAGCTAGAGCATGCAAATTCAAGGACAAAAATGACGTCTGCATGAAAACACAATTCAAGGTAAGTAAGGCAAATAGTAAATGATGTTGGATCATAACATGCAGCAAAATAATCGAGATATAATAACGTTGCAAAGGCAGGTCACGATAAGAATGCTGGAGAAATCACAAAGATCAACAACAATTCTACAATTATTTTACATAGAAGAAATCTAATTCCAAATAACAATCTTTTGCGGAAAATAAATTGTTCGGAAAAATAAAACTATAAAAAAGTGTCTTATACTCAAATGCAGATTGTAACTTTCAACATCTTACAGTTGTGTGGCAAGCATAAAGAAACTTTCGTTTCAAAATTTTACCCTAAGGAATACGTGCCAAACAAATTGGAACAGCTTATGGCCAATATATTGCATCCCATATGTTTAATGCTAACTTCAGAGATGTTAATTCATCAATAAAGCAATAGAAATTTCAAACAAATATAGTGTTATAATACAATTGGACGCCAGTAGAAAAATACTATAACAGCACTTCAGGTATAACGACTACTTACTAATAAGCAATTTTTAAGGTTACATGCAACAGAAACGCGGTTGAAGCTGACCTCATTGATTCTCGATGTTAATTTACTAAAGATGCCCAAGCTCACACTATCATGACTAGTAAAATCCTAAGATCAGATCTATCTTTACTAGATTCACAAATAATTACTAAACATGTGCATCAACTTGTAATCATATCAACATTAGTTAAGGGACTGAATAATTACCTCCTGATTTCCACTTGTCTTATCCTCTACAACAAAATTATCATCTCCAACCCATGAGACGATGCCCTCTCCTCTGACCCCAAGCATAGAGCTCAATCCCACACCAAACTCCCCTGTAAAATAATATCACATAAATAATTTTAATCATAAAAGAACACCAAACACTCCCCAAATGTTTGGCAGTTGGATTTTAGGGGAAAAAATAACAATTCTTTTATTTTTAAATGAATTTAATTAGAATAAATTGACAGTGTAAAGATAATAAGTACAATTGTTCCCTATCCAAAAACATAAATAAATAAATAAGAATATTTCTTAACTTTTATAATAACCAAAATCATAAGTCATTAGAATTGGCCTAGTGGTGAGGATTGAAATAGTGTGCATAAAGTCTTAGGTCCTATCGTTGTTACCCTCATTGTAATCTATCCTACTGAGAAAAAAAAAACAAAAACAAAAACCAAGATCATGCTTAACATGATTTCTAGTTAATTAAGTGTATACAAATCTTTATCTGGGTGAACCCCAAAAGATTAATGGCACGAGATATGAGATTTATCTAAGGAATTAACTTTTTCCAATAATCATTCTCCTGGAGAGTCAATTTGGATAAACTTCTCTAAATACACTTCACGGAAAGAAAAGTGAAATAAGCTTCTTCATAAGCTAATTTGTAGAAACTCTCCTATTAACTTCACTAAAATCTTATTAAGCTTATTTCAATTTGTCATTCCATTTGTCTCTTCTAGAAGTACTCATGGAAAAACTTATCTAAACATGCCCATAGATTTGAGAACCAAGCATCTAACTTCAACATGATTATCTACCAACCATACACATCATCTCATGAATAAATTACAAATTTTTAACAATGAAAATTAATCTTTTTTCAAAATTTAGAAAATTAGATCCTATTTATGAAAAAATAACAATATTTAATCTATTAGCATTTTATTTAAAAACTATTAAATTAAAAACATTTATTAGAAACAGTAAAAATAAAAGAATCTCTCATGTTTTCTTTCCCTTCAAAAACCACATTCCAGGCATATACTAAAACTTGACACAATTACGAACAGTGATGAATCGCGCAAAACGCATACCCGGAACAAGATCATCGAAAGCAGGGAACTCCTCTAGGCTCGTCTCCGCATGGGACTGAGCCTCCGCAACAAGGTGGCGATAATCGGCACCTTTACTTTTAGGCAATACAACATCGACGGTTCTGCTCGCAATTTCAGATTCCAATTCATCTTCCTCTTCCTCGTAGCGATCCCAATTCGCGGGAAGCGCAGAAGAACCCTGAGACCGAGACCCGTGGCTCTTCTTCTTCTTCTTCTCCTCGTTCACTTGCTGCTTCCCCAATGGGCCCTTCGCAGCGTCATTTGGGCCCGAAGACGATGATGGGGCTTTGGGCTTGTGGCTGTGGTGAGCCTTTTTGCTGTGGTGCTGCGTGTGGCTTCTCTTTGATTTCGCCAACGCCTTCACGTCCATAACTGTTAACTGTTTCTCGGGGCTTCAATTGGACATTGATTTCCGGTGAAGGATTGTCGGAATTGAAATCGGGTGGTTAGGGTTTGATGAACGGTGATTTAGGGTTTAGACAAGTTGAATGTGCGGGAGAAGGTGCAGAAGGAGTGAGAAACTAAGGTCGCCCTAAGCGACGTCGTTTCGGATTTTAAACACGAACAGCATCGACGCGCGTTTCGGTTATACTTGGCAGGGAAGAAGAGAATTTGGCACTATTCACCTTCGGCTGATGATATATACACCTCTATTTTTTTATACATACACTCCTTTTTAAAAAAAAAATAAATTCTTAAATTATCCGTAATATTATTTAAAATAAAAAAATTATTTTGGAAAGTTTTTTCGGAGGAGTATTTATTCATAATTATGAAAAGTTCTTTCTGGAATACTAAAATTACTATTTCAGAAATAACTTTCCGTCGGAATAATTATGAAAAGTACTTTTCATAACACTAAAATTATTATTGCGGAAAGTTCTTTCTAGAATTATGGTAACAAATACACACACTGTTAATATTCTGGAAAAAAATTTTCGCAATAGTAATTCTAGTGTTACGGAAAGTATTTTTCATAATTATTTTGACGGAAAGTTATTTCCGGAATAGTAATTTTAGTATTACGGAAAGTACTTTCCGTAATTATTCTGACGGAAAGTTCTTTTCCGGAGGCTCATGATATATACACCTCCTATTTTTTTTATAAGTACACCTTCTTTATTTTTTTAAAAAAATTATAAAATATTATATATATTTTTTAATTTTATACTTTTAACTTTCAATTTTCTACTTTTTTCTTTTTTTCACACACTTTTTTTTCTGCTTTAATTTTTACATGCTACTAAAATAGGTGGGATGAAAGAAAGATAACGGGATGCATGTAAAAATTGAAAAAAGAAAAAAGAAAAGAAAAGAAAGATCTGTAAAAAAAAGTACTAAATTAAATATTGTGAATGTAAAATTTTAAAAAAAAAAGAAAAATTAAGAATATTTTAAAATTTTAATTATTTTTTTTTTAAAAAAGGAGGTGTATATATCATCAATCTTTGAAAAACACTTTTCAGAATATTTTTTTTTATTCCAAATAATATTAAAGATAATTTAAGAATTTAATATTTTTTTTAAAAAAAGGGGTGTATGTATAAAAAAATGGAGGTGTATATATCATCAACCTTCACTTTCGTTGTTATTTTGGGTCCGATGATGAGGCTCACTCTGTTGTTACTCATGGGCTTATATGTGGGCCTCAAGCCCAAACTGATAAAATCATTTGCAACCCTTTGTGAAAAAGAAAAACAAATGAATTGTGCGAGTAACAAATTAACAAGGGTTACAAATAGGGCAAAATCTACTCAATCACAACAAGCAACAATAACTACTTTTCTTAACATAAAATTATAAGAAGTTGGTTTTTGTTTTAACACGGAATTAGTTTTCATTGTGTACTTAATTTATTTTTTTAGTTATGTTAATGCTTCTTTGTTGATTGAATAATTCAATAACATGTATGAATTGAATAGCTTGTCAAATAAAATATTCATTTGAATGAATTTAATTTAATTAACATTGATGTTTAATATTTATTTATTTAAAATAACTTTAATAGTTTAATAATTTGATAAATAAAAATATTAGACAAATGAAAATAAGTCAACATCATATAAAATATCAATGACGAAATAATACAAAATAATATATATATATATATATATATATATATATATAGTTTTTACCAAAAATCCTATAGGTGCTCTGATGGCAAGGACA